ATCCTATCCCTCACAACAGATTCCATTAGCTTACAAACAACACTTGTCAGACTGACAGGGCGATAGTTGCCGGGGCTGCTTTTGTCACCTTTTTTGAACAATGGTGTTACTTGAGCTTTTGGACTTTGTTATAGAAAACTTCTAGGACTTTGTTATAGAAAACGAAACTGACGTCTGTCACCCGTTGCCACGGCATACAAAGAAGGCTCTATTCAAGCACCACCACTATAATGGGATATAGAAGAATTGACCGCAGTTATGTCACACGCATATACTCAATGGTTTGAAAGAATAGTGATTAGGGATTCAGCTCTGCTCATTATCGTCTATTCAGCAAAGATTCATATTCCTTTCGTCATTCATGCTGCATAAAAGCTCTTTTACTAGCGTCAAAAAATTTAAAGTTCACGTCACACTCGGCAGTTAACAAATGGTTCAATTAATAAGTATTCACAATAATCATAGGAGACTAAAACATTCCGTTATGCATTTCAACATCCTAAAAAAACAGAAACAATGTACTAAAACATTCGGCACGGACCTGCACGGGTCGCCTGCCGAAGACCACCACTACCCCGGATGTAATGGACCATCATGATTCCTGCCTTCCGGAACGTAGCCTTCAACACTTCAAGCCGTTAGGACGATAAATTTTGGAACAGAACTATGCTATCTGAAACCTAACCTCAGATGCGGTGAACGTAAAATTACGTAATTTAACGATGCCCGGAAGTCAGATTCGATCCGCGGCCTGGTGATGCACGGCAGGTTCTACGCGAGGCTGGAGGAAGACAAAGCCGAGTGGTTCACAGCTGATTGGTGTATGCCCGGAGAGATCCAAGGCGTTCGATTCAGGGCTTATTGGTGCACAAAATTGGTGGTGCACGGCTGCGCTCCCACCCGCACGGTCACCTCTACCTTCCCATCCTCCCCTCGCTCAACCCTCCACTCCTCAAGAACCCACTCATATCATCCTCCTCTCTCTCAACCCCCACATGTTTTCCAAATATCTCTTCACCCTCTCAAACAACGCCGCAGTGCTCTCTCAGACAGACCCACAATCATTGCCATCCACTCTTTGCTTGTTCTCTCATACCCACTTCGTTAATCTCACCTCCCTCATTCCGAATCACCTCCATCATAGACTGACGCTCTCTCTCATACGCCTCACGTTCCATCAGCAAGTGCTCCACAGTTTCAACAACAGTGGTTTACACAATAAATTATTCCATTTCCAACTAATTGCCCCTGGATGTTCACGCGGTAAAGTAACTCTCACCTATTAGGTTTGACGCCTTGAATAGAACTGGTTTGCCTAACATTAAGTCATTAACAGTGACCGAAAACGATGGCTTAGCGCAGCGTTACAAATAACATGAACTTAATATCACAAATTCTAAAATCACACACATAGTAACAGACCATATATACATGGAAACATTAGGAGGTAACACTGGGCGTGCACGAGATGCGGTTCACTACTCGCTTGAGCTCTGTAAGCGCACTGGCACTATAGGCTGCCAGCCTGCAACTGCGTCTGCGAGACAGGTTTACGAAGGACGAGGCTGACGAGGAAACCGCTTGAAGCCGTTGTTCATTCCTTATAACACGATTTCGTTGTTCTATGCGTTTTTTCTACATATTTATCGCATGCAAATAGGAATTACGCTGAGCAGATAATAAAGAGGAGTAGATGATTGCGTGAACGTTGTGCGTTAAATTCGACGAGTGACGAACGACATCACAGTAATCGCGGACTCCGAACTGCATCACGACCGCAAAAAAGGGGATCTTGAAATATATAAATGCACTTTATGCATAACTAGGTTCATGTCTTTGTTTTAAGGAAATTTAGTGCTTCTTTCGATTTCGCTGCCAACTTTGCGATGGTAGTCTTTACAATTAGCTTTTTTCAGGTAAAGAAATTTATTTTATTTTATTTATTGGTTATCGAGCGTGTTTATCGCAGTGGTAGTGGCACCGAGACGAGAGGAGCTAGCCGCGGGTTCGAATAACCGCCAATGGTTAGTTTCTCTGTGTCTCTATTGTGCGGCTCTTGATAGGGGGGATGGCCTTGGGGGGATAAACTTCAGGTTCGTGTTACTTTGGGGGGATCCAAAGATTCTGGTGATGGAAGGTTGTAGCTAATACTAGAAGTATGCATCGTATCAAAATACGAGTATTTCTGGCCCTCAACATCAGGGGTATTACGTATTTACCAGGAGTAACTTTGTCTGTATCAGACGAAGCCGTCCCATTCAGACTTCAAATAAAGCCTAATTAATTTATAAATCACTCAAAAAGTGTGGTCTTTGCTGCAAAAGGCTTCCAATAAATAGGCGTTATTACAATTTACTTGAAGGCCTCAATTCCACTGTTACGGACGCACTTGAACTCATTACCGAATGCACTTGAACTTAATGCGTGCACGGTTAGACACTCAAATGACTCAATCACATATTCGTAGTCAGGAAAGATAGTTTATCACTTATTCGTGTGCCTAAGACAGATAGTCACTTATTAGTTGCACTAAAGAGAGTTTATATGAACGTTACATTTTCATCTGTTGAACTTCAAGATATTAATCATTATTACACAATGATGATCAATATTCGGGATTTGCCTATTGAACATAGGCTGTTCCGGCAGTATTTTTACATTCCAAGTTTCTACTAGTAATGTTTCAATTTTCCACATTACTGTCCAGTTGACACGTGTATGAATATTTCGTAAACGAATGCGAAGTCATTAGTGTTTATGGTCATTTCCTACCGAATCAAGGCGGCTATCCCTTAGGGTAGAGTTCGATCAGGCCAGCTCGTCAGCACACTATATTGCTATAAGTACAATGTTTAACTTGAGCGTGTTGCTTGCCAATAGTATTGTCAATACGTTTTGGGACTTTATGGAGGGGGCGATGTTTGCCAAGGTATTTGTGTATCTTGTAATTACTGGTCGGCAGTGTAATACTATCCGGAATACGGAGTCTTTAAGCCTAAGGTTTGTAAGATTTGGATGAGAGTCGTGATCTGAATTGAATTATTCTTGTCCCAGTTGAAACGATATGGGTACCTTCATGGCAATTGAAAGGAGCTGGTGCTTATGTGATTAATCAATTAAAAACTGTATCCTACTCAGTAGCGGAGTATGTGCACATAGGCTTGATGCAATCAAAATTCAGAGAATAAAATTTTAATCGTCAAAGTACGATTTGATGTGTCGAAACAATACTCTGAAAGCTCGCGGTATACACAACTCTAACTCTTAATTATCCGGGTCTCGTTCCTTGTATACGCTACTAAATAGGTATAACGTTCCAATAGTGAAAAGTGTGGATTATTAATTGCGTTACTTCTAATACTAACCGAACGGTAGCAAGTATATCGGAAGCTAGTGCGACTTGAGTGCACGACCTTCTGTGAGGTTTAAAATAATGCTAATAACCGAAAATATTAATATCCATGGATTTTTACCGTCCGTTCTAAATGTCTTCGAAGCGCATAGTTGTATATAATTACTTAAGCGCATAGTTCCAGGACTCGTCCACGCTCCTGGATGCAAAGTCAATAAACTAGTTAAGTATGCGTGGTCATGTTCGTCTCGATTTTCTGGTCTGTGGACTACGATTGGTTATCCAAGACGTACCGGCTTGAGCTCTCAAGATAGTTAATGCATCTTGATTTCCTTCTAGATTTTTTAACAATGGCAGAGGTGCAGGAAGGCTTCATTGCTCAGGACATAGCTGGGTTCCAAGGCACCATGCACATAATCATAGCAAAGTCGATGAGTGATGAATTTCCAAATATAGCAGAATGTCATTTGGTGGACGATCTGATAGCCTTCGCGAGGTATATCTTCCCTCGCAAGAGCTCCATGATACAGCTGCGCGAGATGATTAGGAAGGACCTAAGACATGACACAATCGAAGCTTTCTCCATTGCCCTAGGCAAGTACATGCTCAGGATCTACCCCGACTTCTGCGACAAGTATTGCAATGATGAGCAGAGTTCTGCCCGAAACTCGTTGTTCCTTCAGGATATTTACTTTGCATTGAAGTTTTTGCTAATGGAGTACGTTACGTGGGACGAGTGCAATACAGTCAACGAGGCTGGCAAAGAAGTTCTGAAGGCAACCGCCAAAAAGTTCAACGAATATACTCAAACTCTGAAGGTAATGATCGGCCGTATCACAGATGGCGAAGACAGGTACCGCATGAGGGTATCGACTGACGCGCATCGCCTAGCACTGTTGAACAGGCTTTTGGATGACGAAGATGGCTCACTTGTCAAAGAAGTTCTTATGGAAGACTTCTACAGCAAGTGTGCGCCCAAGGTCATTTGGGAGAAGATCGACGCTGTGCGTGATGTACAAGAATTCTACCGAAACAACCCTGAAGGCGAACTGTGCGGCCACTGCCTTGATGTCCACTTTGACGAGGCCCACGACTTTGCCTTCACCGACGTGTGTTGGGACCTCTACTGCATTCCTTGCATGCACATTGTCGCACACTCGGTTGATGGGTGAGTTTCTCTTGCAAAATGTGGCTTCAAAATTTACAGTTTAAATGCTCTATTTTTTGTAATCGTACGTAGGCCTGATTAAAAGTTACCGGCGTTGGACAACAGGTTCGGCGGTATCAGAAAGGCTGTGCAAATAAAGTTAGTCTACTTTGTTTCGGAAGTCTTCACAAATTTTCGTATTCCAACAAACTGTACCGAAATAATAAGGCGTCTCCATCTTGTATGGAACCTGAAATCTTTTCAGTTCTAAAAAAATAATTCTAAACCTCGTATAAAACTTGTTCATTGGGACACTCTATTCGAAAGTCAATGTACTGCAACCAGGATTCTTTTTCTGATATTATTTATTCTTTCCAGAATATGCACAAATTTCCATTGCAATGGAAGCATCTCCTACTTCATGACGCGCACCAACTTCCACAAGTACAGAGAGGAAGTGGACAATGGAGTCTTGTCCCCATACGAAGTTCCGCCCATTGAGCCTGAAGTTCCTTAACTGGATTTTCGAATTAGGTTTTATTTCTTTTATTCGGTGCAGTTGAACGTTGAATAAATTTGTGAGAAATTGCCAATATTGTAGATCATCCTTGTCGACTGTGATTGGCATAGGCCTTACAAATACTGGCAACAAAATTTGTTGGCTTCTCTGCCATTACAAATAGTCAGGCATTCCTTCTTTGCTTAACTGATAAGCATGCTATTCTGAGCTACTCCTCCCAGCATGTTGCTGGAATTTTTTTAATATGAACTCCTAAAAGATAAGGAAACGTGAATGCCAGTCCAATTTTAATAACTAGCGATTAGCCCAGAAACATGACAACGTTACGTCTACTAAGGTGGTCTGGAAGTCCTTCGAAAACCTCTACTATGCTGTGTCATGCTGACCTTGCGAAACCCTCGATTACAGCAAAACGTGGAATGTGCAATAGAACGAGGCTTTCAATCTACCGTTGTTGCCACTTCAACGAAGGAAATTTCATAACTTGAGGTATAAGATTTCAAGGAAATTGAACAAAATGATCACATGAACCAAATGATCTAACTTTGTTGGCACTTGCACTGTGAGGAACAAGTAAACTGAATCGATTCCAGCAAGTAATCGCTTTTCATCCTTCGCACTTGGAAGAATATTGTAAATTCCGCACGCATGAACATTGTTGGAGACTATCTGGACCATGAATTGCCAAGTTGATAGAGAGCAAATTTTTTGCACAAATATCTACGTGGATAAACTATTACTCGAACTTGCGTACCAATGGTAACGTAGGTTGACTTACTTAGTGGCTTGATCAACAATATTATCGGAGTAAAAGCACCACATGATTTCTCGTCGAATGGAAGCATTGGTCAAGGTTGGCAATGCATTTGCATTAAGAAAATGTAACTAACATAATTCACTATTCTGCGAAATGTAGTCAAAATCGTCATTGATATCCTGAGGTAGGATTAATGGAAAAAGCTGGAGCCACCATAACGTTGCTTTACTGTGTCACAAGGCGACCATTTGTTTCGCACTACATATTTATTCTCGAAATAAATTTCATTCGAAACTGCAATAGGAGTTGCAGTGGGAAGAATCGGAATTTTAAAATGTAACTAAATGAGCAATTCTCAAATCGTTCATGTACATTGTCCATTTGATCGCATTTCTCCAACATTCTCAGGTGTTCCTTAAATGCAAGTCATAAAATTTGAAGCTTGAATCTTTTATCCTACCAGCAGCCCACAATAAATAATATATTTTATTCCTCGATGTCATACCTCACGCACGATCGTTCATCAGCGTGTGTAAAGATGGATCATGTAAATAGTTTTTGTTTTTCCCTCAATGTACATCATGACAAAAATGAACTCGTGGCCCCAGTGCCGCACAGTTAACAGCGCGTGATGATGGTCAGCAGTAGAACGAAGAGCCGGAGAGCGCTGCGATGTTGTCCAATCGAACAATCTTCGAACGTGACTCGTTCGTGTAGAGCGATCCCACCTGTCAAATACGGAACGATTCACTTGAAATTGCAGAAAAAAGGTATCAGAACTATCCTATATCACAATTTTCTCTGCTCTATGATTAACTTCTAGAATTGCTGACAAAACAAAATTTCCATGACCGAAGACGTACGTTAGGGCAATTTTGCGCATATCTTAAATGCATATTGGTACAGGATCATCACAATGATGTTGTGCTTTGTATCATCGATACCATCATTACAAATAAATCGAGAAGTTTGTGCATCACTTTCAACTCTCTGACCGAGGTCTTGCATCCTGTAAGCTTGCCAGTGACGCTCAAGATCTCGTGGGGAGAGGACAGGCCGCTCTTCACGGGGTTCTCCAATAGAACGCTTGCTACGGCGCCGCTCTTCAACGTGACGTTAATGAACCTGCAGTGAAATAGCACCAGACAGATTAGCTTAAGCTAAATATCAGCTTCGTGTAAAAATAATCACAGTTTTAATGCTTTACTTCCATCATATACGTGCACACAAAGATATGAATGTGGGAGCTTACTCAGTGACGTATTTTTAATCTAAGTACCGGTACAAACAAAATAACAGCTAAATGGAAGAAACCAAAAAACAACATCGCATGTTAACTGTTATTGTCGTCAATACTCAAGTTTTAACTCACACCTGGTAGGAACCCTGACCTGGCAAAAGGAGCGTTGTTCATCGTGAAATTTGCGGAGCTTCCTTTAGGTAAAAAGAATACCGTTTTTCCGACGAGGGCCGACATTTTCGCTGCAGTGTTGAGCGGTACTCCATCAACCAGCACTTCGACAGAATTTTCAGCAAAGCCAAAGAGCTTTCGGGCAGCTGCCGTCAGATCATCCATTGAGCACAACACTGGGACCCCGGCAGGGTTCTCAAGGAGTAACGTGCCTGTCACCGCTTCCGGGTTCCCGCGGCGGGCACGTCCGCCGTACACAACATTTACCCATGGACACGCCAACTGCACACCTCCACTACCATTCATGGTTGCAGCACCACTCGTCGTGCTGAAGCCTGGCACATAACCTTTAGTGATGACAAGTTCTAGCACAGTCTCTTTGATTTTCTTCTTTGGTTCCTTTTCTTGAATGAGGACCTCAGTGCTTGCAGGGCGCGATGCAAGAGGTCGTAGCGGGGCACGCGTGGCTGTCTGGATGTAGTCCAAGTGACAGTCAATGACGCGTTGCAGTTCACCGCTCTTGTCAGGTGCGTCGTACCAGACAGTCACTTCGTCAGTGGGCACTAGACGGGCCTCCTTCTTGAGCTTCTGTATGCGATTGACCACTTCCCTTGCGAGTCCCTCCCACAACATCTCTTGGGAAGGCGTCGTGTCCAGCAGAATCAGGACTGATGAATCGCTGTGTGCCTGATACTTGCTGGATAACTCTTCGGCGCGCTCGCCACTGAAGGCGTACTTGATGATGAGTTCATCTGCGCTGATGTTGTGCCCTAACAGATCAATGGCACCGCTGCTCAATGCTTCGGTAATCTGGTCGTCATTGAGCGTTGCTGCAGCCTGCGCTACCTGCTTCACATCACCCTTGAGGCGCGCTCCCAACAGCTTGAAGTTAATCTCAGCTTTGAGGGCCACACCGTACTTGCTTTTATCAGTGGAGGTAGTCACTGTCCTCACATTGAGTTCCTCTTTGATGTACGACTCAAGCGCTAGGACGTCCTGAAGCACGCTCTCCTCCTTCTGGATGACGACCACTTCGGGTAGAGGATACTTGATGGGACAGTTCAGTTTGTCTCGCAAGTATCGGCCCAATTCGACGACTGACTGCAGACTGGCCACTGCTGTCTCGGTTCGTTCGCTGATCAACGAGATTTGTGCCTCAGGCACCATAAGATAATGAACCGAGTCTGCACGTAGTTCACTCTCAGTACCAAGGACGCGCTTCAGGTTTTGATACATTGTTTCGGTGATGAAAGGCGTGAAGGGCGACATAAGCCTCACCATGGTAAGCAAGACGTTGTACAACGTGGCCAGTGACTCTTGGCACTCAGCGGTGCCCGCATCACCTTTCAGACGCTTGCGATTGAACCTGACGTACCAGTTAGTGAGGTTGTCCACAAACTTGACAAGCCTCGGAGTGACGGTGTACAGCCTGAACGCTTTCATCTCCTTCCTGACGAATGCAAGCAAACTCTGAGTGAAGGAGAGAATCCAGCGATCCATCACGTTCTTAGGGATGTCGCTCGACTCTTGGTAATTGAAGACGATGCCTTCATCTTTCTCGAGACGTTCGACCTGCTGGCCAAAGTATCTGTAGGCATTTAGCCACGGGATGAAAACCTCTTTCAGGAGCGCCTTGACCTCTTCTTCCCTGAAGCGCAGGTTTTCTCCTCGCACGGCAGGGCTATTGGTAAGATAGAGACGCAGAGCATCAGCGCCGTACTGGTTCACTACATCCATGGGATCTGGGTAATTCTGTTTTCTCTTGCTCATCTTCTGGCCGTCCGAAGCTAGCACTAGGCCGTTCACAATGAGGTTTTTGAAAGGCGGCCCTCCGAAAAGCGCTGTCGAGATTACAAGCAGCGTGTAGAACCAACCACGCGTCTGGTCGATGCCTTCAGCAATGAAGTCGGCAGGGAAGCAGTCATCAAACTGAGCCTTATTCTCAAAGGGGTAGTGGACTTGTGCGTAGGGCATGGCGCCAGACTCGAACCAGCAGTCAAACACTTCAGAGATGCGACGCAGCGGGGGCTGACCAGGCCGCTGTGAGGGGATGGTCAGATGGTCGATTTTGTCTCGGTGGAGATCCGTGACTTTCTCACCACTCAGACGCTCTAGCTCAGCGATGCTCGACACGCACACCACCTGACCAGCAGGGCCATCAATGAGATTATGAAATCAATTCTATCTTATGTATGTATGCCATTCACATATAGTGCCACACAAGTCCACACACAACAAAATTATAGTGACTCAAATGGCAGTGCTAAAATGCAAAAAATGCCTAATTACCAATGACTTACAGCATCCAAAAAGTGTATCAACATGATTGACATCATATTGATATAATTAATACATTAATATAAATAATTAGACAGACAATAATGTATTATCATAAAATTTGGCTAATACAAAGGCACTTTTCTAGAAGGACATCCAGAATACGAACCTCCTCCATGTCCTGGGACACCCAGAGGGGGATGGGCGTCCCCCAGTACCTGTTGCGACTGATGGCCCAGTCCCGCGCCTCCCGCAGCCAGTTGGCAAAACTGCTCACAGAAAGATACTTGCCCGGTATATATTAAGTCACAGACGAGACGTTTAAAATATTTAGATTACCAGTGCCATGCAAACAGACTAGCGGATCCTTATCACCTGATTGTTTAATCTCAAGAAGCCCTAAACCGTACATAAGGACAAACGTAATATATACCAAATATAATTTTGAGCAGTAATGTACCGTAAAATGGGGTAACTTAGACCGGCGGGGTAACTTAGACCACTTTTCGTTTTTTTAACAAAAACCCCCACAACTCAAAAACTATTTGACATAGAAAATTTTTGTCAATGGGCATTAAAGGCCTAATACTGAGGCTACATAACACAATAGAAAGATTTGAAAAGTTTGCATATCTAATAG